ACGCGTTTCTTATCAGGTGTGTTTCCCCAGCGGATCTCAGCCCGGTCAGGAGGCTGGGGAACAACCCGCCTTTGCAGTGGGAGATGGAGGCTCCAGCCTGCCGGCCACCCCAGGGCGCTCCTGTGAGGTGACGCTGCCCCATCCAGGCCTGGCGCTCGGTTCTGCTCCCGAGAAACGCGATTCCAGAGCGCTTGGGAAGGGAAAGGTGCAGCTGCCCGAGCAGCAGCAGGAGGGATGTGACGGGAACATGAGTCACAGGCTGCAGCTCCCCAAAGGATGGGCCAGGCCAGCACGGCCACGGCGTCCCCATCTCCGCAGTCACCCCGGCAGATGTGTCTCACCCGCCCTCTGTTCCCCCGTTCCTGCCCCATTCGGAGCCGCCTGCCTTCCTTCCCGCGCAGCAGCCTGGCCCACTCCGCAGCGCGTGCCCAGCGCCGGGAGCTCCCGCTGCTCGCTCTGCCCTCCCGCCCTGCTCCAGCCCAAACAGCACTTTGTTTCCCCCCCTTTCCTGGCTAGGAACTTTTGAGGCAGCAGCTCTGGGGACGGGAATGGCCTGGGAAGGGCAGGAGCGAGCGGTGACTCACGGGGCCGCGGCCCAGCAGGGAGGCCCTGGGCAGCGCCCGGAGCGGCGCCAGGCCTGCAAAGGCTCAAAGGACACCGACGGCTCCGGTAACACCCGCCTGTGCCGGGAGTCACAGGCGAGGAGCGTTTCTCTCAGTGTTTGCTTTTACAGCTCGTATGTGCGAGGCTTTTCCATAACAGGAAGGATTAAAATATTTCTGATTTGCCCTTTCCGTTTGCAAGGCGAGTCAGCGTGTGGCCGCAGGGCTGGCGCTGGGCGCGACTGCCCTTGCGGAGGGGCCCAGGCCATGGCACCACGTTGTCCCCGCTGCTGCGGGACGGGGGGTGCTCACACAAACCAGCCCCCTGGTCTCGCGGGGCCGAGGAGCCCGTCCCAAGGGCAGTGGCCGCCCACGCACTGCCCGAGTCACTTGCTGGCACCAGAGCTGCCCACATGGGCAGCCTTGCCTTGTTTGTGGCACTCGGTAGGACCGGCCATGGCCCCTCCTGCCCACTGCAGGGTGCCCCTTTAGCCTGGGCATGGGTCTCATGCGCAGCTCTTGCGCCGGGGGGACTCTCACGGTACCCAAGAAGGGGCCCGGCAGCCCCCAGAGGGCTGGCATGGGGCTCTCCTCACTCGGGTATTCCGGTGCCCGGGAGGCAACCGGCTTGCGCAGAGCATGGAGCAGCAGTGGCGGCACGGCTGGCTCCTCCTCGGCCACCCTGCCCACGCCCAGGGGACACAGACACCCTGGCTGCACTGGGCAGGACAGAGCCGTGTAAGAAACCAGGCACTGGAGCCCCAGGACACCCCTTGCACAGGCACGTGGCACTCAGTACATGCCGGCCACTCTTCCCACAGAGGTACCCACTGCAGGTTTCCGTGCCCCCCTTCACCAAGATTTCTGGAAATGTCTCTGCCCGAAAGGAGGCAGGAGGTGAGAGGGCAGCTCTGAAGCTGCCGAGTGGCTCCCGCAGAGCTGCTGCTGCGGAGGGGCTGCTGGCAGCTCCCCTGCTCAGCACCATTGGGCCGGGAAGGTGTGAAAACGCGAGGCAGGAGCCGCATGTGTGCGTGTGCGCAGCGCAAACGGGTAGGTACAGGGTCTGGCTGCACCGTTCCTTCTGGGCTGGCTGCTGATCCGCTGCTGAACTTCTCCCGCGAGGCAGCACGGAGCCGTGCTGGGGATTTAGCCGTGAACTGCTGCCCTTGGCAGAGGAGCTGCGTGTTTCCAAGCAGGGAAGAACCGGGATGGCTTTAGCACTCGTCAGCCGCGTGCCCTTGAGCACGCTGTGGAAATTTTCCATGTTTCAGGGCAGGGGATTAATTGCAGCCCTCAGGGATGCTGTGAGGTTTCCAGCATTAGCAGAGAGAGAAGTGGGATCTGCAGATGGTGGGGAGCAGCAGGGACAAATCCTGCTATGCTAGCGAGCCTAAGCCTGGATCATTTTGGAAAATAACATTCTTCCTTCACACCCTGGGTTGTGGTCTGCACAAAAAGCCTTTTTTTTTAGGGTAGACATTCAATAAAGTGGGACAACCCAAGCCAGGGATCGATGTCAGATGGACTGCCACGTCCATCAGTGGACACAAACATCTGAGGATGCTTGAAGCAGAATGAGGCTGGTTTGAGGCCAGGAGCTGGACACGATGACCCTGCGGGTTCCCTTCCAGCTCTACAGCCTCTGATTCAGCACCAGAAGATTCCAGAAATTGCTGTCCACCATTTTGGGGCAGGCTGGCTTTATTGCTCGCTTTCTCTGCGCTCTCGCTGTGTTGGCTCTCTATCTGCTGGAACATCTGCTTCTGCAGCCGCACAAGAGACGCGTGGCCTTCGAACAGAGCTGCTAAATGCCATTAACTTGAAATATGATCAGCATTTCGCTTGAGATATAATTAGCATAGAAATGTTAGCAGAAAGGACCATTGCTAAGTGGTTGTTTGAGGAAGATCATCTTACAGAAGGCTGAGTTTCTAAAAGATTAAATCACGTACGCTTAAAGAAACATACATAATCTTGTACTTTGTTTTCATAAGATATCTGAACTTTACATACAAATGTTGATGTTCAAGATACCAATATTTCCTGTGTTTGTAATACTGGGTACTTGATAAATGCCTAAGATTATACATCTGTATGAGAACCTAAATGATACACAGGCTCCTGTGAAATGAGATATGGATGTACCCAGCCTGCCTCATTGGCATCTCAAGCCGGCGAGCTTGTGCCCAAGCCAAAGCGCTGCCGCGCCGGGCACAGGCTCTTACTGAAACAAAGGAGCGCTGCCTTTTCCTTGACCTGGGGACGTGGCGTGAAGGAACGCGCTGGACCTCAGCGGTCCTGGCACTGGGTGACCTTCCCGTCACGGGCAGCGAGAGGCCGGTTCAAGGGTTTGGATGCCAGGGCGCAGGGTGCGCTGCCGCCTCCTCGTCCTGGTGCTCCAGGCCAGCTCTCTGCGCGGGGCGACGCTCCAGCCTGGGCTCTCATGGCTGTGAAGGAGCCGAGCGCGGCGGCACATCCCTCCTCTCCTCGTTTCTCTTGCAAGCACCGTTTACACTGAGCACTCGGTCCCTGGCAGAGCTGCTCTGTGTCTGTGCCCGCGCGTGGCCATCTACCCTACTGAGCTGGATCCAGACTCTGTCTTGACACAACTTGGCTTCCTGGCTTCACCTTGGACCTACCTCATCCCTGCAGACTGCCCTGGTGACCTGGAAGACTCTGCTCACCCGGGTTATGGCCAGCGGCCCCGCTCTGCTCGCCCACGTGGGTGCTCTGGGACCTGCTGTTGGTGGTGTCAGCGCTGGCTGCTGTTGCTTTGAGGTTGTGTGGGTGCTCCGGACCCGCTGTTGATGGTGTTGGTGTTGGTGCTGTTGCTTTGAGGTTGTGTGGGTGCTCTGGACCCGCTGTTGGTAGTGTCGGTGTTGCTGCTGTCGGTTGTTGTGTTGTTGCTGTGAGGCTGCTGCCCTGCCAGCCTTGCTGGCACCTTGGCTCCCACTCGCCATGCAGAGCAGCTGCTGACACCGAGCACCGAGCTGGGGTTTTAAAGCTGTGTGTGACTGCTCTGCTGGCTGCCAAGACAGCCCTCGCCACGGGGAGCAGCTAGTAAGTGTCTTCTTAGAAGACTTGGTGTCTGAGGATTTATATTTTCCCGGAAAAGTTAGCTCCCTCTGTGATGTTTGAGAGTACTTTTGTAACGTGGCTTTATGGGTTGTCAGGAGTCCCACTTAAGTGTCCCCCCATCTGCCTCTAAATATTCAGAGCCCTGATGTCCCCTCTCAGAGGGCGTCTAGACCCAAGCAGTGGTTCCCTCCGCAGCAGGACATAGGACATAGACAGCACAGCATTCCCTTGGTAGGGAAGGCACAGGCTCTGGCTGCAAACTTGGAGTAGAGAAGGGGTGAAATGTCCTGTGGCCACTAACTGCCCCCTCACCCGGTCAGAAAAGCCAAATCGGACACTCAAACTGAGCAGAACCTGACGTGGCTACACAGCACGCAGGGCTGGTAAATGTTCCTCCAAGAGATATATCATGCCCACAGTAATCTCTGCAATAATGCTGCAACCATCTCATTCTGTTGCCCTTCTTGAACATTTCTGTTCTGCAAGAGGAAATTCTTAAATGCTTATGAGATTTTTGTTGTTGTTGTTGTTTGTTTTTGATTTTTTTTCTGTGCTTCTAGAGTGCCTGGGAGAAAGCCAGTATGCCCAAAAGAACATGAGGCTCCTGCCACCACCTCAACTCTCATCCAAGCTGTTCTAAGAGCCGCAAAGAGCTCGTTCATCAGGCTGCTCTCTGCAGGGGTGGAGGAGCCCTCCACTGGTAGGGCACAACCTCCCAGCTGGCCTTCAATTGGCATGTCTGATTGCCCAAAATGATCAATGTTGTCCACTGCACTGTCTAAAGATGCCTCAGACATGGAGACTTTTGTTTTCTCCTCTGTCTCGAAGCTGAACGGATCTTCTTCCATTCTGATTGGTGTAGGCCCTAGTCTCACATGCCAGAACAGGTCATCTGAGTTGAGAGCATTGATGCCAGAAGAGTTGTTATTGCAGCTCAAAACAGAGCTAGACAGCTCGAGCTGAGGACTTACGCTGTGACAAACACATCAGGAATTGACACATGCCTTGGTGCTGAAAGATGCCAAAGTATGTCCAGATCAGGCTTCTAGTTTATAACAGGGTGCTGACCTTGCAGCAACGATTCAAACTGACAGAAGGATTTCTCTTATTGTTGCCCCCTTGATTTCCCAGCCCATCTGGATGGGAAAGGCAGCACCAGGGACCTGATGTATAGGGGCAAAGAGGATTCCTTCAGGGCAACTCCCTCTGATACGGATCATCACCAGTTATGGATCTTCCAAGGGAAGCCAAGGCACCTTTCTGAGAAAGAGATGCAGGGTCAGGTAGAGGAAGAGAAGGGGTTAGGTAGTAAGAAGCAGGAAATTTATAGGTATCTTCCAACTGGGAATGCAGGAGTCCTCACTGCTCCTGGCCTCTCTGAAATGCAGCAGATGATTGGATTGAGGATTTCTGTATTAAAACTCAAAGTCTTATATCAATTAGGAAAAAGAAGTAACTTCCCAAATTCCTGAATTGCAGATAGTTTCTATACTGTAGTGTGAGTACATTTTGTGCTGGAATAAAAACAGCCCTTTCTAAACATGTGACAGTTGGCTTCAGAGTCACTGTCGGCACACCAACATAAATGATGTGTGAAAACTAACTGCATAGTTTAAATTGTGCTGGTTTTATTTATAGTAAAACACACAAGTCTCTGCTCCTATCATTGATTCCTACACTTTTAGCAGCAGAGACTTCAGGTGACAGCTTGCTCCGATCAGAAGAGTTTATTTTCAAAGCTCCAAGATGGGTCTAGAAGAGAGGCCTTTGGCCTTCTCTCAGTTCCTCACCAAGATGTCACAGAGCTAGTTTGTATTCAGAACGGCAGCATTACTCTTACTTCCCTCCCGTAGACATCAGGAACTGTTCCCAAAGGAGTGTTGATCATTCGGACCGTGTTAGTACCGTAGAGCTTATACTCGTACTGAATGAGCTGCTGCCAGAAGCCGTTGTTGGGGCGGATGATGGGGCGGCAAGCCTTGACCCACTTGTGCGCGTTCGCCAGAGACACGGACTGGTACTTCATGAGATAGGCTAAGCACACGGCGGCCGAGCGGCTGACGCCCGCGGCGCAGTGCAGCAGCGTGCGGCCCTGCCGCAGGCTCACGCTGTGTATCTTGTCTGCGATGGGGTCAAAGCAACCGTAGATCCAGCAGACGGGAGAGTCCACCACGGGAACACACAGGTACTCGATGTTTGGATAGATAGTGTTTACCACCTCCACGGCGACGTTGATGACAGTGGTGATTTGATTTGCAAGGAGCAGGAGCTTGTTATTGGCAGCAGCGCCATCGCTGAGGTACAAGTGCGGGGTGATCCGAGACAGGCCGTACACCGAGGGATGTGGGAACAACATGGGCAAAGCCCTCAGGGCTGCATTCATTGAGGTGCGTGGTGTGGAGCAGCTGTGGTGGAGAGCTGCCTTTTGGTCTTCTTTTGCCTAGAAAAATAAAAAAAAAAAAGGAGATAAGGAACTGCAGGAGGTCAGTATGAACACGTGCATCATTGCTACCTAACGCCATTTGTTTCTGGGGTGTGTTCAAACAAAGTGTGTAGCCCCTTGTGCATTCACCTGGTAGGTCTCCTTGTCTCCCTGGAGCCAGTGTACGATGGGTCCGGATGGATTCTGCTCGGTGGTGCAAACCAGGGGACTCTACCCTGTCCTCAAGAGCACATCATCTGAGTTCGCAAGAAGCCAGTCACCCAGCCAAGAAAATCCGGGAGCCGGCTGGGTCAGCACGTGTCCCTCGGCAGCGTTTCTAGGAGAAGGCTTGGCCCGAATCGTGAGGATGCTCCTGCCGTGTTTGGAAGGAGAGCAGCCAGCACAGAGCCACGACGAACAGACCTTGAGACCGGTAGCAAAGGAAAGGTTGCTGAGGCGCAGCCCCGCGGCCCCCGCGTGCGCGGCTCGGCGCCCCGACACCCTTCCCTGGGGCGGCTCC